GGACAGTCAATTAGAAAAGAGCCATGGAAGATTATTTTTATATATGATTACTGCAGCGAGATTCTGAAATACCCACAATGGAAGAATGGTTGGTGAAGATGAGAGAACTAGCAGAGATGGCAAAATTAACTTGTTTGATTAGAGAAAGATCAACATTTATCAGTGAGTGGAAACCCCTTATGGACTTTTTGCTGAAAAAAGAGAAAAATGAACTTGTGATTTATCATTTATCAGTGAGTGGAAACCCCTTATGGACTTTTTGCTGAAAAAAGAGAAAAATGAACTTGTGATTTATGGGTTTGAAGATTAGAAAGGGTAGATTATGGAAAGAAGGAAATTATGATGCAACCTTAGAAAGAGAGGGTAAAATATAAATGCATTTATAACTGCTGTCAAAAAGACAGCTTTTTATAATTTTTTTCCTCCTTTTTCTATTTTCTTTCTTATTTATTCACTATTCTTCCTTATTTTGTTTCTTTTCTAATATTTGCATTGTTTTTATCTTGTTAAAAAATTCTTCAATAAAAATTATATTAAAAAAACAAAACAAAATGTAGGCATCAGGCATTACTAGAGCTTTGTTCTAGACTACGCTAATAGTAAGATGTGTTTAACCTTTTAAAGATACACTGCATTTTCCAGATTTCTATAAATTGCAATGTGGGGAAAAAAACTCTTAAGAGCCTTGAAAAAATTCTAGGAAAGATAGGGCAACACTATCATAATAAATATTTTACATTTAATGCCAAAACATAAATGTAGTTTAGAAATGGCGTTCTGGCTATTTTGAATTTAAGCAGTGAGTACAACTCCTGTACATTTTAGGTAGAACTAAGTACAGCAAACATCTTATACTAACTTTTCTATCTGCGTACAGTCCAAAAGTCCTGTTTTTTATATTAATAATACCCAAAACAGTATAATTATCAGCATGTTTTTTGCAAATCTAAACACTGTTCAGTGATGGCTGATCTTTTTAAAATGAATTCTGTTGGTAACTTCTGAATTAGAAGATCCAGCATCTTGAAAACAACACTAGACGTTAGATCCAGTGTCTGGAATAGCTAAAGGAAGATATTTTTCCTCTCCTTGCTTTAGGCTGGAACAATTCACCGTGCAACTTAAAAAAAGAAAAAGAAAGAAGGAAAAAAAATATTTTGGTTTGCTGTATGCTTTGATGTTTGCGTGCTCTCTCTTCACCTTTTGTTTCTGGCATCTCCATTCACACCCTGTCCTGAATTTTCAGTGAAGTCTGCTTTAGTCTGAGGTATTGCTTTGATTTGCTGACTTGAGAACACATCCTGTTCAATCTCCCCTTTTCCTCCAGGAGTATTTTTTTTAAGTGTAAACAGCAGCAAATTGTCAGATGAGAAAAAATCAGCTTGGGTGGGTACTAGGCTATTATCTAGTCAGAATTCTGAAGTCTGTTTCCTTTGCAACGATTCCCAGTCACAAAGCCTTTATGCACACCGAAAATTCAAGTCTTGCATTTTGGCTAGCATCACCTTTGGAAAGGTCTGTATTTTATTCCAGACAAAGGGCTTGCAAGAGCCAGAGTCTTGAAGGCTGCCAAGAACAACAGTAACCAAGATAACCGCTGGTAGGGGTCATTTCTAGACCAGTGTTTTTCAAACTGGGCAACTTTAAGATATGTGGACTTCAGCTTTCAGAATTCTACAGCCAGCATGGGGAATCTGGCAATTGAAGCCCATAGATGTCACGTTCTAGATAATATTTTCAGAAATGGTTTGCCCTTGCCTTCTTCCTCTTAGGGTTGAGAGAGAGGAACTGCCCCAAAGTCATCAGGCTGGCTTCATGCTTAAGGTGGGACTAGAACTCACATTCTCCCAGTTTCTAGTCTGTTGCCTTTAACCACTACACCAAACTGACCCTCAATATCCACTACTACCATAATTCAATAATTACCTTATGCGTACTATCTCGCTAGTATTCTCCCTGCATTTCCTTTTGACAGTTTCCCTATCTATTTTTCTCAATACAATGAGTAAAAAAGTGGGTAATTTTAAAAAGGTCGACAAAAACAATTATTGTAATTAGGAACAGTGACATTATAGAAAGGCATAAGAGTTTATAAGCTAGGCCAGACTTTCCGTAAAATAAAACCTGGGAGATAAAGGAAAACGTATATGGGACAACCTTTGTCATTCACCCACTGCATTTTGTTTGTTTAAGTATTTCCATTTAATACCGAATTCAGAGGGGAGTTAAAGATGGAATCTCTGCAGCAGTTGGCTGGACTGACTCTTCAGCATATGGGATTTATTGTGCTAGTACTGAAATGCTCTCAAAAATCCTCTTACCTCCTTAACAAGCTGAGTCTTGCAAAGCCTACTAAAATTGCACTGCCCAAACTCAGGAGACCACCAACAGATTACAGCTATTAGATTGTCTAACTATATTTCATAAAGAAATAAATGTAAAATCAGACTGCTAAGTCTCCAGTAACCTGAACATACCTATTTTATTGGAGACCTCCCAAAAATAGATTTTAAAAAGGCCAAAGTTCCTCCAGCTCCTCCAGTGGTGTCACTGTGTCATCACATCTCCTGTGGTTCTGCAGACCCTGTCCATAATAAGGATGCTCCCCCAGTTTGAGTCATTTGCTTTCTATCTGAGGTTCTTTAGACCTCCAAATCACCATGCTTGATGGGTTTCTAGAATCATAAGCTTAAATCAAATATATTAAGGTGCTTATGCAGTATGGTCAACTTTCATACCTACCGAAGCCTGTCGTCCTGTTAGCGAGGCTGGAATAGGCGTTTCCACTCGGAGAAGATGTAGCAGGACTGGACAGGGGGCTGAAGGAAGCTGGGTCAGCAGGGTAAGTATGGCTGGATCCAATTGCAAAGGGTGAAGATTGTGCCTTGCTAGCTTGTGAAGGAATTTGCTGAATGGAGAATAAACAAAAGAGATGGAGTAGCTGTCTGTATTTTTTAAACAGAAATAGAGCGATGCAATGACAGCCTTGTGCATTATAGTATAAGCAACTTTTCCCAGAGCTAACTAGGTCATTTGTTTTCATTTCTGTTGCACAGGTTTATGGCCATTGTAATTCAAGGAACACGTAGAATCAAACAAGATGAGTTAGAGGAAACACTTATCCAATTTGCAGATGATGCAAAACTGGATGGAATGCTGCTTTTAGGTGTTGCAGACAAGAGCTATGTTCTCACTCAGGCATGTTCCAAAGTGCCCTTTGGAGATCTTCCAAAGCACCTTTTGGAGATCAAGTCCAAAGTACTGCACAGTCCTAATCACTATACCTTCTAACGTGATAAAAGGGATAGAGCCAAAAATATGACATATGATTTCTCTGCCCAAAAACAGATGTAAAACCAGCCTTTTAAAATTAGCGGCCATACCTGCCCAGGGAAGGGAGGGCGACTTCCTGTCCAGGCAACTTGACTCTGATTTAACTGCCGAGAAATCTGTGACAAGTTCTGGCCTGTTGATGAAGAGGACTGAATGTCGTTGACACCTGGCACATGGACCACAGACGAGCTGCAAAGAAGAAAATGAAAAGGGACTTGGAAAGTACAAGACTGCTCACTGGTACCTACTGATACTTTCAGAGCAGCGATTCAAGGGAATATTTTGGAAACCATTGCTTGTAGGTGTTCTGGAGTCTGTGAGATGGTGACATCGGTGGTACCATCTTGCCCTTGATCTTTTCGGAAGGAGGAATTTCTAAGAGGATCCTCAATGAGTAGACTGAGATTCCAGTAAATGGTCTTTAGTTCCCTATACCTAAAGATATATTATTATATCCTAAACCTTTACCTATAAAGAACTACATCAGGCAAAAAGGAATACATTCTGCTGCATTTCTGAATGCTCTAATCTTTCTTCCCCAAAAGGTAATTAGAAAGATACAAAGCATATCATCTATGGATTACAAACAAGGTGCAAGTCTCCTCCTTAGGCAGAAATCTGAGGTTCATGAAATATTTTCATTATTTTATTTATGCATTTCTCCCCACATCTCTATATATCCTGGCAACCACTAACACACAGGAAGATCCAACCAAGGGATTCAGGTCATGACAGGGCTTGAGTAAAGAAGAAATGTAAATACCCTGGGGAGTAGTTGATACAGAAATTATGATAAGAAAAAGAAAAGAAAATGATATTGAAATTCCAAGAGGGAGATATTATAATAAAAGATAATGTGGCTATGCAAAATGTATTTCATCAATATTATTCCAATTTATATAAAGGACAAGACATTTCCCTGGAGAAAATAGATGAATATTTAAAGAAACCAAATTTACTGAAGATTTCAGAGAAATAGAAGCAGATTATGAACGGACTCATAACTTTTGTGACTTATGGTTTTGATGATTAGAAAGAATAGGTGATAGAAAGAAGGGAATTATGATGTAATCTTAGAGAGAGAGGTTTAATTAGAATTATCTGTATAACTGCCAAGAGGAAGATTGGAAGTCATTTCTTTATATTTCTTTTCATGTTTTCTGTTCTGTTCTTCTTTTTTCTATCTCCTTTTTTGTCTTTTTTCTCCTTTCTTTCCTTTTTCTCTTTCACATTTTCTCTTTTTCTTTAAATATATCTCTTATTATATATGTAAAATCTTTTAATAAAACTTAAAAAAAAATGAATGGATCCATAACAATAAGGGACACTTGTGAAGCTATAAAAAAGACTAAAACAGGAAAGTTGCCTGGACCAGATGGGTTACCGGCTTCTTACAATAAATGCTTTGCAGATGAACTTTTACAACCTTTACAAAATACGATGAATTCTATTTTACAGAGCGGAAAGATGCCAGAGAACTAGAAAGAGGCTAATATAGCATTAATACCTAAGGCAGGACAAAATTTGACTTTAACCTATTGGCCGATATCATTATTGAATAATGACTGTAAGTTGTTTACAATGATTTTGGCTGAGAGGTTGAAAATAATTTTGCAAGAATTTATTAATGAGGATCGATGTGGGTTTTAACCTAAAAGACAGTGAAAGGATAATATAAGAAATGTGTTGGACATTTTGGAATACTTGGAGCAACATAATGAAAAACAAACCACATTGATTTTCTTGGTTGCAGAGAAGGCCTTTGACAATTTGAACTGAGCCTTCTTGTTTAAAATTTTGGAAAATATAAATTTTGGAGAGAACTTTACAAAATGGGTAAGATCAATTTACACTTCACAGAATAATTGTCAATGGAAATTTGACAAAACCCCGTGAGATACAAAAAGGGACAAGATAGGCATGCCTGTTGTCTCCTCTTGAAATATTGAATAGAAATATACGACAAGATGAGAGAACTGGTGGATGTGTGAAAAAGCCAGAAGATTTGGGTTCAAATGCATATATTAATTCAGAGAATTTTAAAGATTAATATACAACTGAAACCAGAACTTTTCCTCTTGGGACTGATGGATAAAC